CTTGCCCCCGGCCCCCCGCCCCCCGCCCGGCCACTCCCCCCCCGGGGCTCGGGCGGCGCGGTGTCCGGAGGAAGGGGGCTGCCCGAAGCCCAAGCGCTACCGGCTTCACGGTTTGCCAGGCAGCCTCCAGACCCTGCGTCCCCGGCTGGGCGCTTCCCCTCCCGGGCTCCAGCTGCGCTGGGGAAGCGCCGGCCGGGGGCGCAGGGTCTGGGGGCTGCCCGGCAAACCGTGAAGCCGGCAGCGCTCGGGCAGCCCTTTCCGCGTGGCTGGGAGTGGGAGGGAGGAGGGGGCGGAGTTAGGGCGGGGAAGGGGCGGGGAAGGGGTGGGGAAATGGGCGGGGCTAGGGCCAGTGGAGGGTCCTCTTTTTTTATTTATTAGATATGGTAACCCTAATGTCAGCTCTCTGTTTTGCAAGTTCCGAACTCCCGGCCCCTGCTCATTCATTTACTCACTTAAAGCCAGCTACAAACTGTTTGCTTTGCTCTGTGGTACGAGCTTTGAAACTGGCACTTCTGCATTCCTGCAGCCAGTCACAACAATGGAGAGGATTGGCCACTTGACAAGGTGATTAGTACAACGCTGCAAGCGTTTACACTCAGACCCGTGAGTCGTAGCCACTGCACTGCAGCTGTTATTCCTCTCGGAGACGTGGAGTACCTGCAGCGGTGTACCCAGGGAAATACAGCACTGTAAGTGCCCTGCCAGTGTGGACGGGGAGTGAGTTACAGCGCTGTAACTTGCAAGTGTAGCCAAGGCCAGAGATAAGTGATATGAATCTGTAAATAATTCCTCTCCCACCCACCGTTTCTTGTTTGGCCAATTACAACATCAGGTTTGCATGCGAAGGGGCAGGAGTTGGGGGAAGAGGGAAAAAGAAAACAGCTAGTGAAAATAGATTTATATCTAAGCTAGCTACTAAAGGATACTTGTAGGCATGTGCTAGAATTACAAAGAACTTTGCCCAGGTGTACTATTGAAAACATTCTCTCTAAAACGAAGTAGGCAAGTAGAGATAATTCAAGAAATCTGTTAGGAATTCTCA